GCACATGGTTTGTCAACAATCAAACACAACTCCCTGAGCATGAACCATCTGACAGTGCTTAGTTTCAATGGAACAATTCAGTTACTTGTAATACTTTCCAGATTGTAAATATGGTACATGGTTTTCACAGTTCATCATAAAACTTACTACTAAAGATCTTTATTTCAGTAGGTCAATTTCAGGTACCTGTAACACTTTCCAGAATGGAAATATGAGACATGATTTGTCTTTCTACTAAATCATTTAATAGTGCTTATTTCAATGTAGCAACATAAGCTACCCGTAACGCTTTCCAGATTCAAAATTACATATAATAGTCAACAATTAAACAAAACTATATTGTAGTAACCACCATCTATTTGTGTTTCAGGAAGACATTATATCCTACTCTAGTTGTAATATATCCCTTAATTAAGACATCAATTAATTAGGACCTTAATTAAGCTATGGTAATATTGTCTGGTGTCACATTATTTATATCTCTAGCAGTTTTAATCAACTCATTTCATACATATTAATATAGCTAGAACATGACCTGATAAATTTTTCCTAAAACGTGTTTCCAAAACACGTCAGTCATGATAAGAGCTCTAGTCAAAAAGCTAACATTTAGTCCTATATTGGCTCTATTAAAATGTAAGACCACATTTCTATAACTAGCTGACTTGATGAAGATTGTGTATCTGAAACATGTATCAACAGCATGAGATAAGCTCTAGTCAATTAGCTAACATTCAGTCCTATATTGGAAAATCAAATCTCATTTCTATAACTCAGGGATACCAGTGAGGAATGAAAAAAATAGAGGAAATGGAAAATATCAGGTGAATGTAAAGAGGACCACAGACTCTCATGTAAGGTATAGGGGGAAATTTTACCATTTTAACATGCTTTGGAAGTCATTTCCCATACAGAAATTTTTTTTATTCCTAAAACAAAATTTTAAAAGGTTTTATTTGAAAATAAAAAAAAAAACGTCCAGAAAAATAGAGGAATTCCTCTACAAAGAGGAAGTCTGGGATCTCTGATAACTAGCTGTCCTGATGTGGATCTATAACACTCTAGTCAATAAGTTCATTAAGCATTAAGAGTTCAGTCTAATTCAGGCTCGTTAAAGGTTGTCATAATATCTGCTAACAAGTATTACTATATCTAAGATGAATGTCCTCTCATATAGTTGCTATATCTTTCAGTGAATAGAGCATTTGATTGATAGAATGTCATAATGACCTTGAACATTTTTTACATAAAAATTTCATCAGATCATGGAGGAAGTATTATATTTCTTTGCACGTGTCCTCTCAACTTACCCAAACACAACATAGGTACATATATACAATTGAAATATTTTAAGATCACATGATGAATTAAAAATCTAAACAAAAGAAGAATAAATAATAAACTTGGATTCGGATTGCAAAGCAATAAACGGACCACTCAAATTAAACAGAAACCACCTTCAATATCACATGATATCTTAAGAAACAGCAGATTTAGGTGTTACAACGCTGAATCATCAAATATATATTTGTTTTGTGATAAATTAAAAACATTGCGAAATCTGAGTATTTATAACTAAGTTACCCATCTTAACAACACGAATAGCTAGCTGATAACAACTTGTCGTTTTATGAATTCAGATAATTAACCAGGGTTGCTGATTTAGCTCTTTATACGAGTCATGTTTCTTGATATGCTGATTGACTGTATTTACCTGTCATGTCTGACTTGGGCTCTAGAATGTTGGTTTGATTGTATTTACCAGTCATATCTCTTTAGATGAATGAATTGATTGTCTGACTAGAGCTCCAGATTGATTTAGCTGCATTTACCAGTCATGTCTGACTAGAGCTATAGACTCTAAATTTAGCTGTATTTTACCAGTCATGTTTGACTAGAACTCTAGATTAATTTAGTTGTATTTACCAGTCATGTCTGACTAGAGCTCTAGACTGTTAATTCAGCTGTTTTACCAGTCATGTCTGACTAGAGCTCTAGACTGTTGATTTATCTGAATTTTACCTGTCGTGTCTGACTTGATCTTCAACTATAATTGAAACCCTTTCGAAAATGTTGTTTAAATGGAAAATGAATTCTGATAAAATCATGGAAAACAAACAGGATATCTAACTAGACCAATAAATTAAAAACATGGGTAGGCTCATACAGGATGTCATGTTAAATTATATTTAATTTGTGACACATAAACTCATATCTCTCACAGCATCCTACGAATAGGAATTTTAAACTGTCACGACAGATCCTAGGTTTCAATGTCTCGAACTATCTTAAGTTGAAAATTGACACAGCTCTGTCTCTCAAAGCCATTCCTGAGTATATCAGGAAATTTACTATAAAATAGACTTAAAGTTGGAATAGACGATGTACGATGTCTGGTGCAGTGTATGGTGCAGAATTATTGATACAGTAGAAAATAGAAGGAAAGACTCATGTTCCCATCATGTTCGGACCTGTATGTTATGTGTTCACTTGTTCTATTTTCGTTTATATCGATAATCTTGCATTGTACACCGCACCGGACATCGTACATCGTACATTGTCTATTCCCATCTTTATGGTGGTTAGCCCTGCACTGTAATCAAGATCTAACTTCATCTTTATCATATAGCATTTATAACAGTTTTTTGTTCTGTGTTATATGCTATGTGTTTCGAGAATTATTTTGAGAATATCTGAAAAGATGTTGAACTGAAAAACATACTCAAATGACATATGTTTACACTCTTAAAAGAGTGTTCAAATATAAAGATTTGGGCATCCTATGTAAACTTGCAGCTATGCAAAAAACTTTATATATGCTTACCAGTATATGGATATCGTTATATCATTATACCTTATTATAATATACTCTTTTTCAAAATAAGATCATAAAAATTACAATCTACCTGTCTACAGATAAACCTATTCAAAACCATTAAAGCGATAATTTTCTACGCCTGACCCACTTTATTACAAACTACACTATCACTATTTAATCCTGATTTTCCTTATATCTTGACCTTTGACACGGCCTATAATGACTAATCAACTTAACAAATCATGTCAATAAATATACCTAATTTAGTTCTTTCATATCACATAGGCTGTGTCAAATGAAATGATTTAAGAGTTTTACATCCTACTTTTCTGCTCAAGATTGGGATTTAATAATGAAGATGAGCATCATCAAAAATGTTATCTTTCTAACACCTTATAGTTTGATATTGAAATTTATGTTCTACTTTTCTTTTTAACATTGGGCCAGTGAAGATGGACACCTCCATACACTGAGCTTATATGGAAATTTTGTCAGAATATTGCTATCAGCTTAGTCTTTTATGATATCAAACTTTCAACTTGTGCCATTTTCCAGGCAGGTCAACACTATCAAGAGGAAACAGAGTTGAAGAAAGTGAGATATCAGCTCTAACTATGAGTTCGACTGATGCATGTAAGAGTTGGTAATCTAAAAGGTTACCAAAATCAAAATATATTGTCCTATTCTGTATGAGGATAAGAGCACCTATCTTTGAATCAGTTTCAACTTGACAATCTTCATAAACCATCTGGCTTACTGTAGATAAAATACCAGTATTGATATTATAGTGATATTTTCTAACTCAATAATATAACAAATTGTGTGGTTTAGTTTTAAATTAAACACTTTATGATGAATATTATAACCATCTGAGTTTGCATAGCTGCACTAATACCAATAAATATATTGGAAATAAGAATTATCACATGATATTAGCATGTCTAGCTCAGACTGACTGTTCTTATTCAATAAAATATATGAAAACTGTGCCATTGTTTACCTAGAATATAAAATTGATTGAGAGAATTGATCCAGATATTATGTATTGTAATCTGTCAACATCTGCTGTTCTCTGACGACTTTTCTTCTACCTACATTCTGACACACTAGCTACAATTGAAAGAGAGATTTTACAAGGATAACAACTTGCAATTCACTTAAGGTGTAGACACCCCGAGAGGTCTTGGTCGGAGATTAGAGTCTTGTCTTAAGTTTGAATGACTGGCACAGGCACACACGGAGACAAAAATCTCCAGTTGGTTGTTTTCCACCAAGAAAGCACCTTCAGGATCCTTTCCATCAAATGGTCCTTAGTTAAACCTTGGTATTGTTTTTTCCCAGACAGCTGGGTTGACATGAATAATGAGGAAAGATGATTATTCAAGTCACAAGAACTTCACACACTTATTGAGATTAGAAACCACTGCCATTATTTGTTTGAAGTTACCAAGCAAATCACGTCATTTAATTTTCAAAACTCTAATCCACTGTGCTTCAGATTCCTTTAAGCTAAAATCCAAATAGTATTATATAAGTTAGTCTTCGATCTGATTAAAAGGAGTACGTATGCACCAGCTTTAAAATAAAATAACAAGAATTGTTAAAAAATCATATCTCTACCTTAGTACACAGAATAAGCTTATTATATTAATTTCTGTACACATTGTAAAATCTTTCCAATAATGTCAATTAGGATCAATCTTTGTTCGATAAATTTTAGAAAATTGTCCGATTTTAACTTTTTTCAAGTGTCATTTAGTTGGTAAAAATAAATTGTAAAATATTTTAACTTTCAGAAACAAATACTTCAAAATACATATGCAAAATAAATCTTCAAACACTGACACTTTAAGATTTATCTATCATAGTGATTATTTTCTAAATATTTGTTACTTTACACTTGTCCATCTCAGCTATATTACTTTTCAGAATTAAAATCCAGGTTTTAGTTCTCCTACAATTCATAAATCAAAGTAATGAAGTCTAAATATCCGTCTGACATACATCCAATTAGTCTTATTTTCTCCAAACTTATAAAACACAACATGCTTTCTAACCAAAACAACTGTATGTATTATGTATGCTAAGACAACACCTGTCACTTCTTGACGTCTGTATTCTACCTATATTTTATAAAATAAGGCAGGAATTTAATATAGTTTGCTTATTCTTTTATCTGTAATCATCCCTCTATCATCATTAAACCAATATGCCTTCTTGCATTGACAAATCTTACTGTTAAAGTATTAACAAATCTTACTGTTAAAGTATTAACAAATCTTACTGTTAAAGTATTAACAAATCTTACTGTTAAAGTATTAACAAATCTTACTGTTAAAGTATTAACAAATCTTACTGCTAAAGTATTAACAAATCTTACTGTTACAGTATTAACAAATCTTACTGTTACAGTATTAACAAATCTTACTGTTACAGTATTAACAAATCTTACTGTTACAGTATTAACAAATCTTACTGTTAAAGTATTAACAAATCTTACTGTTACAGTATTAACAAATCTTACTGTTAAAGTATTAACAAATCTTACTGTTAAAGTATTAAAATGATTTTTTTTTGTAATTTTAAGTTCAATATTTAGACTTATAAAGACAACTATATATCAGCTGTAAGCTCTGTCTCTGACTCTGCACTATAATGATGGCATTATTAACCTTGGGTGTTACAGGCTGTGCACATAAAATATCCCTTGAAAAATTAATATCGAAAAAAAATTGATTTATGTAACCGTTCTGGCAAAATTGAACACTTAACCAGAGCATAAAAATAATTTTACAAAAATAGATATCTACTTCATTTTTAAAATTAGTCTGATTCTTCGTCTCCATAATTGAACAACTGAATCTTGTCAACACCACTTCGACAGATCCACATGGGTTTGATTATTCATTATAGCCATTTGTCCTTTTTCCTGCACAAGATTATCAAAAATAACAAACAAAAAGTTTTTATCAAGTTGGCCTAAACACATCAAAACTGTTTGTCAACTCCTACATACCTTCAGAGGATCCACATAGCAATGAATATTTATCAGGATGTGTATTTTTTCCAAGATAAAGTCATAAAGATAAGGAGGATAAATTTAAGACCTGACAATAGAGAAAAAAATCTGACATAAACCCATCAAAACTATCACTATGCCAATAACAATAACAAACTGGGTTTGTCAACTACAAAATTCTTTTAGAGATTCCACATAGGTATGAATATTCATATTGTAGGCCTAATTGCTTAAGCTTATATTTCATTTATATTGTTTCATTTCTACATATGAAGAAACCACTGGGATTAAAGGTTGAAATTGTGAAACAATGATATTACTAGTAGATCTAAGCCGCCAGCTATTACTGCCACAAGCCACCAGTGTGCTTAACTGTAGCCAGCTGATACAACCCCTCAACCAGTCGAAAATGGTAAGCTGGGTGGCTGATGGGTCTTATCACTAGGGGTAGAAAGTAAAATGGGTGGGGCGAACCACTGCATGCTCTTGCATTTTCTTCAAGAAATGGACATACCGGTAATTTTTCCAATTACATTCTTTCCAAGATCATTTCATAATCATAACAAGACCAATAATAGGGCTTGTAAACTTGTAAATCCTTTTTAAAGTATGAATATTCAGTTTACCACACATTCATTCTCAATATTTTAACATAGCGAATATTTATTTGGTATTTTTGTTACAAGGTAATGACATAAACATAACTAAAAGTCTATAAGCTGATAAAAAAAAAACAGAGAAAGCTGACATAAACCTATCAAATTTGTAATCATTGGAATTACCCCTACAATCCACATAATACAGAATTAAAGACAGCGAATTCAGTAAGACGATAAACACTTCAAAACAATTCTGACTCTTAAAGGGACAAGTTCCCCATTTCAGAGGTTAATTTGGGTCTTGAATAATGTAAATAGTCTTCAGGAGTACTAAAAATGTACACACAAAACCTATAATTCCTTCAAAAATATCTTAAACTGGGAATTTTACTTTACGGTACCCTTTCTGTTTATATGTTTTTTCTATACAATAGATATGGTAGAGTCTAAAGAATTGATGAGTCGTTTTTAACATCCAAACGCAGATAATTCTGGACATATATGGAATTGAAGACTAATATTTCGAAAGTGGGCTGCGAACACAATTATTGATTAGCTTAGCTAAAAAGTTCCAGTTTCTGAGACTTAAGTACAATTGGTCAAAAGAATGGCGAACCAATCCCTTTAAAGCTTAGTCTATGATCAGTCAAGGACAAAAACAACAGTGATTGCAAAAACATGTTCTTGTTTGATAGATAGACATGTTTTTTTAGGATAGTAATTATGCAAATTTCTATGTCATTGTGTACGGATAACAAATACAAAGCTTAAGCTAGTGTGAGAAAAAATACAAATTAATGGTTTTATCTTTCTGAACTTTCTCTCACATTTACAAACCATAATTCAACATTATTCACTATGTTTTGATTCTATGAAGTGATAAACCAAAATACCAAATAAATATTATTCATTATGTGGACTATCTCATATAGACAAACCATAATCAAACCATAACTATGTGGATGAAGTGACGAAACAAAAGTACTAAATAAATTAAGGCAAATAAACATTATTAACTATCTATGTGCACTCTCTGTCAAATTGATAAATCAAATTAGGCCTTCCATATAAACGTTATTAAATAAATCTTATTATAGTCTGAGCAAAATACAATTTTTTTAATATTTCCCATTATTTTTATGAGAATTGGAATAACAGCCTCAAAATAGTACTGTTTTAGAATGTCTTTGTGTTGATAAAAATATAAACATAAGCACACATTATGTCTTAAAAATTTGTTTTTACAGAGGACAATTTTCAGCCAAAATATGTGACGTTTTCGGGTTGAAATTTCTAGGGGAGAAATATGTTTTTTTTCAATGTAAACTTATGTAAAGGGTTATATTTCTTTACGCAAAGACATTCTAAGACGATCAGCTCTATTTTGAGACCGATATTACATTTCTCTTTAAAAATTTCAAAACAATTTAAAAAACGTTTTGATTTGCTCAGACAATAGCCCTTTATGTGGCCACTATGAAAGGAAGATCCAATCGACAATCGATCTCATGTCAAATTTGTTTCTAGTCTAGTAAGCCTAGGCTACCCTAATCTTAATAAATAGGGCCTAACAATAACATAGACTATAATCTTAATAACATGTTACCCGTATTCAATTCTAAGTAATAAAAAAAAAACAGCGATAATCACAAAAAGTAATTCAAAAGATTAGGCCTTCTCAAATTTCACAACATCCTAACTTGGCCTAGATCCATTATTCCTTTAAAAATGTCATTCATTAAGATTCATTCATTATTCCCTTAAATAAAATTAGGCCAAAAAGGTACCTCAAAATCAGTAGTAATCTGGGATTATCCAATTCCAAACACATTAAGTGCTGCATATTATGTCACTTCGTCACTTGAGTCATAGTCAATAGATAACCTACTAGTCTACAGATATAAGCCTAGCCTCTAGATTTCACAATTCTCCTTTTTATTGATTCTTTCAAAACAAACCACTGACGACAGGTAAACTAGGATTAACAAAACACTCCAGCTTATAATCCACTCAAATTTTAATCACAATTTCGTTATCGTTTTGATATCCTCGTCAGATCAGAGAAAGTCAAAAATATTAGGTTACGTACCTGTACTAAATAAAATCCATATTGTCAAGAATAAACACTGTGCAGACGGCAGTCGCCATGTTAGAAATCTCATTCTAACAGGAAATCAACGTAGCCGCTTTGGGAGAAATTAGTTTTTTATTTTCATCCGCTCTGTAAACATTTCTTTAGAAACATCAAAACGTTTCGACATTGCAATTAAACCTTTGGATACTTTTTTTAATATTATCAAAATGGGAAATTTGTACATTTACTCCTAAAATTTTGAAATTATTAGATTAAGCGCCTATACTGACTACAATGACGTCCCCCGCAGGTGTGAGAATACCTGTGAAAAGTCGCGAGTATCCAGCTCATGTCAATGAAACGTCAGTATGCTTTCTGTCTGGTTAATACTGCCTACAGATATACGCAATGATCATATTAGATACAGGTAACAATAGCAATCAAGTCTTTGATGAGCGCCGACGATATACTCATTATAATATCGATAAGGTGACACAAGTGGTCAATAGAAACAACAAGAGGTTGTAACAAATCAGCGAATTATGGATTTTTTTGTACTTTCTTGATTAAACAATTTTTCAAATTCTTTTTTTTTATCCTTTAGTATATTGAGATTAGGGTGGTTTAAAGGTAACAAGTTACTATCCAACAGAAGGCACTGACACAGGGTTAATTATTGAGCAATTTTTTTCTTGTTAAACATTCAATGTGGCCTCACACACAAGTTTTCACAGTTCCAGATTCCAGGAGATCTATAATCACATATAGTTTTTTTTTTTATTAGTTATACCAAGCAGCTATATATTACATTTGGGAAACTTCAAGTACCTGTGATATAATCCAGAATATCCTTGTGTCCATGATATAATATTATGACCCTGCACATCAAACCAGGTATTAAGTAGCATTTGGTGTATGTAGAGCTATTAGTATATATTTGGATTCCTGGCACCATCAGCTACATTTTGATACCAATTCCATCTCAATAGCTTTCTCCGTTCAGAAGATATAATCAATTTAATATCCAGATTTGAGTCCCCTTTAATACTTCACTGTCAGCTTATTACTGGGCAGTGTTACTTAATATCTGATACGATGTGTGGGGTCACAAATTTTGTCAAGTGAGACAAAGGGAATATTATGTGGGGGATTCTTGTTTACCCTCACAAAATAATGCAGGGTGTCATCACAACATAAAACTTCATTCATTTCATTTATCACATATTTACAAAAAGGTGATCATTAGACATGGACTCCTAAGAGATGCTTAACCATGGGCTTAGAGAAGGAAGAGCATGCCCTTTCTCACTTGACCCTGGGGCGATGTTGAACAGTCTCGTGCATCAGAGAAGAAGTGTTATAGGCTACAAGGTACAGTAAGCTGAATAGCCATATTGGTCACAGAAAAGTTTTTGTTCTGCTTTTCTCCATTGAGGTTTTTTTTTAAACATTAAATTCAGGTTAACAAGACAGTCAATTATTGTACTAGTTTTATTATCATTTTATCAGACATGGCTGACAAGTTCGATGTATGACAGCTGTTTGGAGAATACAAAATAGTTGAGACTTGTGTAATAAATATTGATTAACTGTTGGCTCGTAATTTTTACTCCTACTTTTCTACACTTGATTGGGATAATGCAGATAGGCAACACCATGCAGTGTACAAGGAGGGAAATTTTGCCTGGACTGCAGCATTACCATTTACAACTGTTAAAGGAACTGAAACACGCAGTCTTTAGTACATCTGACCCAGCTGAACATTGTGGACGCCCCCACTCAATTTCCTAAAAAAAAATGATTTTATACTAATTAGCTCCAAAATGTGGCAAAACACACAATATCAATTCTAAAAATTTTCTTAAGACAACCCTCCATATGCTTTTGCACTTCCTCGTATTTGCCGAATTTTGAAACTCAACCTTGACAGTTGTCCTCGCATTAAGTAAGTCTGCTCTCCACTCCCAATATGTACCCCCAGTCTCGGGGGGTTGGCACCCCTACTGATACTAAATAAATCAATGCAATGCATCAAATAAAACACAAAACAATTTTTCAATAGTATAATTTTATATATATATATATATTTTATCAACAAAGGATTTCACCTTTTAATCAAAACAAAGATTGTAATTATAATTAATAGTGGAAGAATGGAATTAAAATCTAAATAATGCTGCCAGGCAGATGATGGATCATTTTATTATTTTACTGTCATTCAGAATCAAGATGGTACTTGTGAACCTTCGTGAAATAATTCTAAAATCAGTTCTATTTCTGACTTTTCTTACACAACTCATCATAATCTTAACCAGTGATTTTAACACCAGGTTATAGTATAAAATTCCCCTTCTTTGCAAAACCATCATTCAGAAGACAGATTTCAAAAAGTGATGAAAGCCAAAATTTGTAAAATAATGCTGAAGCTTGTAGTGGATATTTTCATGATCACATGTTGAAAGCCGACAACCAGCAATCACATTGTTATTTATTTAGAAGACAAACTGCCATAAGTGATTAAGAAAGAAAAATGTTAAATAATGCTGAAATCTTATTCTAGAAAATAAGCAAAACCCTCCCATCAAAATCATAATTTAGTGGATACAATCAGGGGATACAATCAGGGGATACAATCAGTGGATACAATCAGTATCATACATATTATGTAAGTGTGAAATGTGATTTTTAACCCCCCAGCTCAAATTGTCTCAGAACCAGCCAATTTACAGAGGAGGGTTAAATTCTCATCTTTAATTCTGATCGGGTGAGATGTCCAGAAGAATAATGTAGTCCTATCAGCATTAGAAATCCATACAATTATTTTACTGATTATATTCTCATTTACATATTCATAATATAAACACTCATGAATATTCAGTAGCTTATTTACATATAAATAAATAAATCAACATATTATATACAAGAATAAAAACAATCCAATAGAAACCATGTAAGAAAGTAATAGAAAGACATCATCTTATGACTATCTCCAGATTTTTTCCAATAATATGTAAATCTGACCCAGATGTCCTAAAGTGAAGTCACATAATGTTAATATTCACTTGAGCTTTCATATCTTGGAGCTCAGGGTGTATGATGTTAATATCCTGAAAATTTCTAGAGGGATAAAAATTTGATACTAAAATTCCAATTTTGAATTCAATGCGTTTATATTAGACATTGTTTGATTGTTGTTTATATAGTAACTAATGACAATCTGTTACAAGGCAGATTTTTCCACAAAATGCTAACATTTTTGATTGCTAAAAAGAGATTCTAAGATCCCAAAATACTGATAAAACCATAGTAAAATATTGTATCTATAAAAACGTGTTAGAATATCACAGATAAGTAGTTTATGTACAATAACTGTATGAGTTGTGTATAAGTCCTAAGGGCAATATGTCCCAAGTACATAGTTTCCAAACCTTGAATTATAACCATATCTTTAGAGAATGACTTATGAACTCCCTGTTATTTCCTAACAAAACTGTAAAATCATTTATTTTCATGGGTGCCATATTTAATGGGTTTGTCCTGATAAGTATATTCAAGGATATCAGGAATTCAGAAAATCCCATTTTTTTAAGAATTTTTTTCAAGGACTTCACATAATCATTTGATTATGTTTTAATTCTTACAGCTTTCTGTTTCTACTGTAAGTGGGATTTATTGTGTTTACTGCCCATTTTTATCGAAACCATTACTTGTTAATACCCTTTGATATCATTTTATACAATTTACAATATTACAGTGCTTTAAATCTTATGGGGACATAAATTCCGAATATTTGAGCCCTCATGAATATCAATGATTTCACAGTAATTGATAGCAAAATAAAGCTGAGATGAACGCAAAGTTTAAAAGAACGCCACTCTTTATTTTCTGACAACTGCATTTCATAGAATTAAATTATTCAAAATATTTGGAATCTCTATGATGCAAAAAGCTCAAACAAACAACATTTTGCCATAAAAAGAAACAATGCGCCTTGAATATCACTCAAAAAATTCCAAATAATTCATGAAATGCTTAAAAATTCCAAATAATTAATGAAATGTTTAAAAATTCCAAATAATTAATGGAATGCTTAAAAGTCCCAAATTTGATTTTAAAATCCCTTTCCTTGAATCTGAAGCGTAGCTGATTGTGCTCGCCGACGTATTGGATGTAACTTCTCAATAACAGGATTACTTAAAGCTTCTTGTATCTTCTGTTGGAACTCTCTTTCAGCCTGCATACCAAGTTTATACTCTATCTCCTCCATTTGACGTTCCTGTATTCGCTGGCGTTCATTATAATCAATCTGGCCTTCCAAGTCATTCTGATATTGAAGATGTTTCTGCCATAATCGTTGTGCTTCTTCGCGATCTAGTTGTTTATTTTTCTCGATCACCTTCATGAGTTCAGCTCGTTCTCTCTGAGCATCAAGTTGATTCTTCTCATTTTCAACCACTATAAATAAAAAAAAAAAAAAAAAAAAGAATGATTATCTTATTGTTATTGGTGAATTAATTTTTGAGCAAATTGACAACTTATTCCAAGATAGGTTGAAAAATGGAGCTCAAAAGATGTAAACATGGTAAATTACCTCACAAAATCAAGAACAAAACATACATTAAAATATTAAACTTACATCTATCTCTGATTTGTTCAGCACGTCCAGCCATCACATCATCTAATAGCCTTTTACGTGCCAGTCTTTCCTGTCTCCATCCTTCCAGTCGTTTCTGCCATGACTTCTCCACTTCCTCGTTACATAGAGCATCTAATTTTCGCTCCTTTCTCTGTTCTTCTTCCATTAATTGTTGTAGATAAGTTCGATAACGTTGATCTTCTAAACGTAGCTCTTTCTACAATAGAAATGAATTGAATGGAGGTTAACATCTTACTTTTCTGCACCTGATTGGGCTAATGAAGATGGGCACCATGCAGTGTTCAATGAGGGACATTTTGCCAGGACAGCAGCATTAGCTTTCTATGTTTTAATTTCAAAATGTCACAGGAGCCTTAACATGCACAGCCTGTAGCACACTAGGACCAGTTTTTTTGCCCCATCCATCGACTTGAAGATTTTTCCATATAAACCTCTCCAACATGCCTCACTGACAGGGGAAAAATTATTTTTACTTATGCCTGGATAAACCCTAAACCTTTAAGTTAGCAAGCAAGCACCATAAATACAAAGATTGTCTAATTACACCAATATGCTTACCTTTCTCTGCATCTGTTCCATGGCCTCGTTTCGAGATTCTTCCAGCAACTCTTCCAACATCTTGAGATCAAACGCCATCTGTTCTTGCTCTTCTTTCGCTTTCTTCTTCATTTTAATCTTCAAGCATTTATCTAACATGTCTCGTGTTTCTCTCTGCCGTCTTAATTTATCTTCAAACGCCCTTCTGTCTTCTAATTTTCTTAACAAGGCTTGTTCTTTCTGAAAATACATAACAAAATCTTTGTTGTTAAATTGTTAGAATGGACAAGCTTAGTCAAGTTTGTCACAATCATTGAAAGAAACATCTTAGGTTCACAAGGATCCTTTCTGCCAGCTGATGCCCAATATTTGCACCCCAAGTTCAAGACAGCAGGTGCCACCACTATTGTGACCATTCACTTACCAAGAGTTGAGCTTCTTCCTCTTTCAATCTCTTAGCCTCATCTTTCTGATATTGTAAGGCAGCCATTTGTTTCTGTAGAATACCAACAACTTCTTGGTTACGAAGATGTTTAGCTTTGGCTTCTTCTTCCTCTTTCTTGGCTTTTTCTAACATGTCTTTCTTCCAGAGCTCAGCATACATAGCATCTTCCTCTCTCTGTGCATCTTCAAGATGATTTTTAATTTGTAGTTGTTCTAATCTCTCTACACAGATCTGATCTTGTGTTCTTTTAGAAACAGTTGATCTTAATTCTTCACACTGCTCTCTGGAATTATCATTAATAATATTTTTATTAAAGTTATATGTCCTACTGTTCTATATTCCTTGCCAAATATGTGAAAATGAACTACTTTTGTACTATGCAATGAACAAAAATTTGCTTGGAAAAGGAGTTTTAACCTTCTACAGGGCTCTATTCTTCAAAAATTTTAATCAAAATATTTGTCTGTCTTCTAATAATACGGTATTTGATAAAAAAGGTTTGGGGGTAAAAAATTCTTCATATGTCACACTGACCTCCAATATAGCCAAAAATATACATACTACTGAATAAACCAGAAATAAAAAAATTGTAAAGATATTGTGAACTCCTCTCACCTAAATTGTTGATCATATTTATTTTGTACCAACTTCAACCTTTCAGATTCTCTCTGTTCTTTCAAGAATTTAGCTCGGGACCTCATCTTAGCTTGACGTTCTATCGTTGTTTCCTGTTTGTCCTCCATTTCTTGTAGATATTCCTTCTCTTCACTTTCTAACATATCTCTTAATCTATAGTTCATTTCAAATAAAAATCATTAATTATAACTATCTTGCTAGGAAACATTAGCTCATAGCTTTCCTGTCTTGTGTTCGTAGAAGACTTCATATTGAATCTTTGTAAAGCCAGTAGCGGTAATAACCAATATCATTCAATTGGTCAGGAAACGATTTTTGTTAGATCATCAGACGCCAATGATTAAAAGTAATAACGGTATAAAGACTAAAATCAAGCTTTATGCCAGTCAAGTTTCCCTTAAAAATCAATTTCATAATTCAAGGCCAAAAATAATCCTACAAAACCTACCCTGATTTATCAAATGAACTATTCTTAACAATGTATCAAGATAGGCAAAGCAGGTGTTGGAGAGTCCATTAAATAATTAAAGGGTAACTGATGTGTTTCATATAGATAACTTGTAAACTATTAACAGTCTTGTATTCAAAAGAATATAAAAATGATCACCTTTCTCTCCTCTCTTCAATAGTAAATTCATTGGCTTGAATCATGGAGTTTAACCTCCTTTTTACTGTGTTTAACTGAATCTTTTTATCAGTAAATCTTTCCCATTCATTTTTTAAATCACATAACTCCATATAGTTAGTCATTTTCTGATTTTCTTCTAACTTTTCTTCTTGTTTTCGTCTTTCTAATATCAAGTACTCTGGAGGTCGACTATTTGTAGGTCTGGCCAACTGAAATTTAAATAAACAGATTTAGTAGGCCTGCAAGTTAAATATCATGTCTTTATCTTTTAAAATTAAGAAACAGTTTTTTTGATCTGACTGATATTTAACATAATAATTGCTATTTGCTATAATACATTCTCAGATGTCAACTCACATAATGAAATTTATAATTGAAAGATAGAGAATGCAACCCTGCAGGCAAAAAATCAAATGCAAGTTCAACACTGATACATTTCTTTTTACCCCAATAATTGCAAAAGGGCTTTTCATCACCAATAAAGTACTGCTGGGTAATGGAGTCAGGGCTAGAAATTTCAAAACTACTTCTCCCATTCATGCCAAGGGCAGAATATAAATCATAATGTAAAAGGCTAGTACCGGTACCGGTAGTTACTTAGATCTATCAAAATACACTTACAATAGCAACAGAATGAGGATTTGGCCCAGTGACCTCTCTGGTCCTTCTTATTCTCTGTGATACCATCATCTTGACAAGTCTTTGTTGATTTTCCTCACTTTTTAAAAAAACTTCACTAAAATCTTGAATCTTGTGCAGCAACAGGAATTAAGAAACGCCAATTTTTTTAATATTTTTTTCCTAACACACTATCAAGAGTCAAAAAGGATTCATATAAGTCTAAAATAGATGTTCTACACCTCAAACCAACCCATAATTGGTGAAGAAATTGGAAAATCTGGTTGTTAATCCGATTTCCTTCGATCACCAATTTGTTTACTTTGATAATGGCGTCATGTATCTAAGGAAGTAGTGTAAGAGGCACGCACTAGCGAATCTAATCTTTAGAGTTATTCCCCTTAGACCACAAATCCAGCGCCAAATACGGTTTGTTATTTCTAGTGTTTTTGACTTATTTTGTATTTTCATAGTCAATACAAATGTTTACAGATGATTTTTTAAAGCCAGATCGTGAAAGAAAGTTATTGAAATACTTTTTATCACTGGAAAAGAGGCCATTAATTTCGAATATCCAAAATGATTAAATTTGAAGTTGGACCAAATCGGACATGAACTGATTTGGCCACGTCAATTCGTAACAAAAATAAGATTTAGATATCATGTTATATATTGATTATACACATTTATATGATTTTGGAGACAATGTTATTGTATGTCAACAGGGTCACTTCAAACTTATTCCCTTGTCTTGTACAAAGGGAAACTTCCATCTACGTCAGTATTTGATCTACACACTTCGTTAAAACAGTGACAGATTAAAATTAACTCAAAAAAATTCCTGAGACTTTTCTATGATGTATTTTAGATGGAGAGCACAAGTTTGTTAGAATTAGCAGGACATTTCAACGACAAATTATCAACTTTAAAAACAGTTTGTGAACTGCGTAAATCTGGCCAGGATGGGGAGTGTAATCAACATCTAGTTACTATAGCAACAGAATTAGAGAGTCTGGAGTTAACAATGTCCATGTTAAAACAGGAAGTGAAGAAACAGAAACAAGAATTAAAGTCTGTACAGGTGACAAAATATTGATTTTTAATTTGTTTTCTTACGAAAACAATAGAGGTATACATGCTAGAAAGAGTTTAGGTTGGCTTATAACTCTCTGATTTATTTTGTACACCATGGGATTTATGAAATGAGAGAAAAAATGCAATTCAAAGCTCAATGTAGTCAGAGAGTAGGTGGGCCCTATAAGAGCTAGAAATGTTTTTGTTAGGTTATATCATTTGTTTGATCTTTGAAGAGTTTTCACAGTTTACCCTTGGTATGAATTGATATTAATTTGCCTAATTTCATATAATGTATTGTAATGAGGCAGTCGGCTATTTTGATATTGGGTCAGATATTTACAAGACATTTTTTTCAAACAGGCATGTCTGCCTCAAGATTAATATTGTTGTGTAAACTTTACATCATGTTCACATTTTGACTGAAATTTGATCTTATGATTTAATATATACATACACAATATTAGCAATAACATACACTTTATCACATACTTTTAAAACTTACCTAATTGCTCATTGCATGGCTTTGGTCTTCATTAACCCAATCAGATGCAGAAAACTAGGATGTAAAACTTCATTTCATTTTAATCTCAAATGATTTGAAAGATCAGATTATTTTCAGGATATGAGAGGTAATTTTGAGAAGTTGATAAAAGACTTAATTTATACTAGTAATAATATTCCAGCTAGATTACCTGGTACCAATAGATCTACTAAAAACACTGTTAGGTATTGTTATACTAATTTTTAAGGAAATATAGCGTTTTATATGTCATGCCCTAATTTTGTGAAAAGATTTCTGTAATGAATTCCAATATTACAGCAAAATCATTTTTTGATGAGCTTTGAGGATCACATGACTGTGTTTTAATTTGGTGAATGATATCAATGAAACTGAGCAAGTGTTAACTTATTTAACTCATTTTTATTTCTGAATTTTAGTGAGAAATCTTCAGGTATTAAAAACAGTAATAATAATGAAGTTACTATAAAAGATGAAGTTGTTAAAAAACCTGCCAGTAAAAAACAACATTGTCCTCTTATAGAGTATCTCACTGTAGAGGAATTTGAAGATGTTCCGAAGTAAGTCATTAGGCCTTCTGTCAACAAATTGAATTCATTATTTCTCTTAGCAATTTCAGCTTGCAAATTTAAAAATACATTTGCACATCCTAGACAGTGTTGTCATTTATTTAGACTGATTCATTTTTTTGGCAGACTGGTAACTGATCAGTGTCAGGAAAAAATTCTGGACATGTCTAGCTAAAATACTTTCACTTAAGAAAAATTCATGAAATCTCTGCTATGTATTGGGACATTCAAGAATTCAATTAGAACTGCCTATTATTTTTTTCGAGAAGAGTAGGACTTTCATAATTTCAATAAGGTACAGAATTGGGTGTAAAGCCACGAATAGACCAGGTACAGTGTCCGGTGGGGAATAATCAATACAGTAGAAAATAAAAGAAGAGAACACACGAGGTATAGGTCTGGACACAGTGCAGACATGATTCGCTTTTTCTACTTTCTACTGTATCTATAATCCAGCACCGGACACCGTACATCGTCTATTCATGGCTGAACACTCTTATTTTACATCATTTCCCAAACGTTTACCAATGTTTTGTCGATATCTTTTAGATTTTGGGTTTCGGTTTGCAGATTGTTAGTACTAACTTTACTTCTATTACAATCTTATATGATTTTAATAATATTTATATATTACAGATATATGAAAGGTCGGGTGATGTATAATCAAGTTAACACATTACTAGATGAACTAAATAAAACATTTACAGCTAAATATAAAATAGTTCATCAGAAACGATCTACTATGAATGATTTAGCCAGAAAGAGAAACGAGAATTATAAATCTCAACAGACTAAAGATACTGAAGGTAAAATTTCTTCATTCTCTTATTCAGTGACTTCCCTTTCTTTGCTTCGAGATAATACCGTCTGAATTTTCAACCCTCTTTCCCCCTGTCAGTGATGCAGGTACGAGGGGCTGACATGGAAAAAGCATCAAGTCGGTCAGATGGGACAAAAAACCTAGGCCCCGTGTGCTACAGGCTGTGCACATTAAAGATCCCTTGACAGTTGAGAATTTATAAAGAGCAGGCTAATGCCGCTATCCTGGCAAAATTTCCTTCCTTGCACCCTGCATGGCATTGCCCGTCTTTATTAGCCCACATGGTGCAGTAGGACATATAACTCCATTCATTTCATTTCCTTTCTTTGGTCAAGTGTCTATTTTCATCAAATTGATTAAGATGCAGAACTTGCTGTTTATTTTCATGGATTTTCGACAATTTTATATGATGCAAAAACATTGGTAGCCAATCAAATCAATAGATTGCCACCAAAATATCACAAAGTGTACTTTCTAAATAATGTAATTAATTCAACATCTGATCCAGATCCTACTATGAAAAGTCAGAAACTGCCAAAGTGAACAGACTTGGAATTTTTCTGGGTTATGAAAGCAAGCAAATCTTCCTAAAGTATAAGAACTAAATTATTTGATCTCACTGGTATATTTCAGGTGTATATTTTGTGGTAGAAGCTGATATAAAAGATTTCTCGACTATAAAACTAGATGCTGTAACGAGAGCTATTTTAACAATTTTACGACATTGTGGTCGAATACGAGAAATACGAGGTGGAAAATTAACCAGATACGCCATTATAGAATCTTATTAAATAAAATATTTATTGTACATTGGATTTGAGAGCTTATTTTGGAAACCCCTGGTAGTGGTGTCACAAAGGGATTTATATATACTGCTCCTAAAATAAGGGCGCTGTTTGTTGACCTTATGGTCCAGGGTTTAATCCTGTCATAGGTTCAGAGATACCTTTATCAAATTGATGTCCTCCTGTCAGTGATGCAGATTGTAACGACTGACATAGAGGAAACAAAGTATGTCTATTCTGTAAACAGAGGACATGCTAGATCATTATAACTCGACAGTTACAAATCAAAAAGATGCATGGTTTGACAATATTCATTAGTCTAATCATGTACAGAAAACTAAGACGCTACACTTCTTGTCCCTTTTATTTCCCAATTCACAATAATTTAACAAGGTTTCAAGCATTGGACCTCTTCAAAAATGATCCACTAAGAAGCTGAACTCCATTACAAGAGCAGGGATTTTCACTTTCCTTCAGTTATTTGTTCATAGAACATGGAAGTCAAGAGGAATTGAACTGTATGCAATGACAAGTAAAAATAACAGGATTAAATATTAACCTGCATGATGTAGTCTTTGATATGGTTTCTGTAACTTTGTACTAGTAAATTTCTTTTCATGCCCAGTGAGCACCCCCAAAATGTAAAGCAACATTGCACTTTGTTTCAGACAAGACTGCCAGGACAATACATACTTCACTCTCAAATATTCAGTCATTAAAAACAGTTTCTTAAATCTGATTGGGCCAATAATGACAGTTGTGCAGCAATGCAAGAAACATAAAATATACTGATGGTTATCATGTAATCATAAATATTCAGGCCACATATTCTCGAAACAATCTCAGAGCTAGGATGTCCTAGAATCAATGTTAGAAGATAAGAACCTAGGACATCCTAGCGCTAAGATAGTTTCAAGAATACGCTGCCCGATCCATGTTGATCAGATGAACTAGTTCATGAACTGATTGAAGTAGGTCAAATCGGGAGAGAATTTCAGAATGCAATAATTTTTACTGAACTTTATTCGAAAAACACGAAATTACAAAATGGAAGATGGATTATGCGTGGCTTTAAATGACAAAAATATACGATATTAATAACTTAACAGTTTATTCGATGATATATTTACAGATGTACAATGATAATAAAAAATCGTTCATTCGCTCTAATTCATAAAAACATGACATGATTTCTAAATCATACTCCAATCAGCATCGAAATACAAGTCATAATTTGGCGATTCGTCCAAAACCAAAAACTACTAGAGACATGTCATGTCTATGCCAAATCAAAATTGTGCGACTAAGTATTTCTATGCATGAAAGCAGTCTTAAAAACATGATTACACTGTCAAGTTCAAAGCCATTTTTCTTTGGCTTTTAAAACATGCACTTCTGCAAAAAAAATAACGTACCCTTAGGCAATTAAAAACATACTGAAACTAAAATCACATTCACACTAGAAGTTTAAAACATACGTATAAAATAGTCAGAGATATGAAAGACAATGAGTTCCTGAATTTACGAAGATAGAATGAAGTCGATCACATTTATAACCCAAACCACAAATACACAATTTCAGTCTAACAATGTCTAGGTTTAGACTAAGCTAGCTCACTAAGATGCTAGATCTGTAATTACACTAGATTTTAATTCAGGAATAGTACTAATTTTCATAAATTTGGAACTCAAATATTTGGTACGAACAGCCTGAAAGAAAAATAAAATATTTAGAAATATACAAAGGCAAAACTAAAGATTGAAAAGAGTAAAATGTAGCCCATTTTTGCAGACGAGCTAATTATATTGAAATATTAAATGCAGTCCAACTCATCAACATAGTTTCAGACCACTTGCTTATTTCCCCTCCCATTTTAAAAAGGCAATTCAAGCCATACGTAAATATGAAAAGGGATAATCGGCATTCCACTGAATAACACTGGATCATGCATTGATCATCTGACCTATTCATTTTGTATTCATTGACTGAAGCAAGATCAACCAGTCAAAAAAGAAACTTACTGTTAATTTACTGGATTCAGCTTTAACAACTAACTGAGATAATTTTTGAAGTAGTGGGGTTAATTCTTTTTCTGTGTAAGCACTGTAGTGAGCTAGGGTATCACACTAAAATAAAAAAACATTACAAAATAAACAAAAAGGTGTTACAAACTAACTGAACATATTAGGTTTTAGTTAACACTACAATCAGTAAGCCTATAGAGAGGACCTCAGGAGCAAAATCAGTATAGATGTAAGGAGTCACAAGATATTATGAAAACACATGCAGCCATTGAACCACAAGTGCCACCTTGTCAGAACTGGCAAAACGAAACAAATCCTTCACGGCAGTATAAAAAGATGATTATATCAATTCTCACTAGAGTTTACTATTTAACAGAAGATAAGATACATACCCAAGATGAGCTATCTAAAACTTTCATTGAAAGACATAATGCAGCCGCTGCTATTTGAGACGGGTTATAATGCACCATGTCATATTCTACTATGGTTAATTCCATGAGATATTTGGCGAGTGTGTGCTTGGTTGCGTCGACCTGCAAAGGAAATCGATCAAAATTGAATATAAGATTCAAAATCCAAGGTAGATAAGGCATTGTTTGAAGCATTCTCATTTCGTTGTCCTGTTTCATTAAATGGCGTTTTGTTTGGCCTTTCATAAACAGACAAAATATTTGCGAAATATTTTGCTTATTGACCACACGGCCATGAAATGATATATACTGCAGGTCAAAACTTCATGCAACGCCAAAGTTTAAAACTGCAAGGCTAAGAAATTTGTACAACATTGGACCATTTTTGAATTATCATATAATAAAAACTTACTTGTCCTGCTTTGGAATTCCTCCGTAAGAAATGTAAACACAAGGGTTTTCCAAAACTAAAGTTCAAGGTTTTTAAAATTAATTGTTCCATTGTCCTAATATCAGCTTTAGTATAAGCATTGTCAGTAATATACACAAAATCAGCAACTTCGGGGGCGTACATCTCTTCATATTTAGACGCTAATAACATTGAGGTAACACCAACTAACTGTAGTTTATTCCTAGAGATTGGATGAACCTGTAACAAAAATATTACAAGTTGAATCAGATTTAAATTTCAACTTACTATAAAAATTTGAGTTTTAATTTGATAAATAAAAAAAAAAATTGAAATAGGCCAATACATTACACTGTAAGTTCTGCATGAGCACTTGTGATAAAAAGCTATAGGGAATACACTGAGCTGACAACATACCTGTAGAAATCTGTCTATAATAGAGACAGTGAGGTAGAGCGTTTCCTGTAGAAGATGGAATCTATGGTGAACCTGACATAACCAATCTATTAATATAGACCTCATTTTACCAGTCACTTCCTGTCCCTCTAGATAGTTACAACGTACACTGAAATCTACCTGTAATACACCAGAAACGTTCAGTTAGTTTTCTATTAAAATAAATTCACAGGATGTATGTTTAAGTGATATAAGCTCTTATTACACTGATGGATCAATAACAATATTGTAAAGGCCAATCAAGATTTAATGAAAAGTTGCTCTGAAAAATTCCTTTAGCAGATATACCCCATTTCCAAAGTCCTTTATATTAAATCCAATTCTAATGAAATGGGAGTTTTAGAAATGTATGGACTTTTATGTTCTAATTTTTCTGCACCATGTGAAATGTAGTTTTAGTCCTATGTAATGAATTCAAGCTGTCAAACTAAATTTCAGAGCTGTTTAATTCTCAGCTTTTTAAGTTCTATTTTATGAAATCTACCGTTTTCACTCGAGATTGCATGCCAAGATTCCATTAAATGTTTTACAAAGTTATAGGGCAGATTCTATATTTACCTCTAATTTTCTCATGTATTGATAGATGTCGTTAACGTAATCACTGACTAATTGAGGGTTATCTTTATCATTGGCGTCAATGTCCTCCACTGGACACATGGCTTTAGAGAAAGCTTCTGGTTTGTCTTCACTGATGTCCATAGGATCAACAGTCACTATTGGTTCTGTTGGCATCTTTAAAGATGGTATTAATTCCACAACAACTGGCTCCTTATCCTACAATAAGCAAATTGAAAACCTGGATAAAAATTACATCTAATCCAAACTAGAGTTTCTATAATCGATTCTAGAAATCAAAGTATCGAAGAAATCTTATTGTTTTAATCCTTCAGATATAAATTGTGCTCTTATCAAAACTCATATGCATTAATTCAAATATGATCGTGACCTACATTTCTACACAGTAAATTTCTCTAAAGAGTTTACAAGCAGCAGCACTGAGGAATCAGATTAAAGTTTGTTGACACAGCTTCTGAATTTCACAGCTGAATTAAATTGCTTATTGGAGAATACATTACCTGGATAGTTTCCAATTCTTGCTCTTTCTTGACAAATTTAGACTTCTGTAAAATTTCCTTTTTGATGATACCAGATTTCTTCGTAGGGTCAATCGTCATATTGGACACTTTGTTGCCGATATCTCCCAGAGCAGCACGGTTCGTTCTGGTTGGAAATCCTTTCGTGGACATTGTATCTTTTTTAACATTAATATTTTGGCTAGCAATGTTTGCCTGAAAAAAAAACTTTCAGTTCTAATGACAATTGGCAAGGAAAAACCAGTTCTCAAACTAAGCTCAGAACAATGAACATTTGTGGTTATATTTTTAAAGGTAGGAAAGCTCAGAATCCGAACTATACAACTCACAAGTAATTTGGTGATGTCCATTTTAATGGTTGAAAATAAATAACTGTCCTATTCTGGTATGTGAATGAAATATCTAAATCCAGCCATGGAGTATAATCCTAAACACTGGTAAATACACCCACTATGGCCAATATTAAGCCAAGGTTAATCTCTTTAACTAGCCCTAATCCATTGATAAATATTGATTCAATAATCACTGTTAGGTAATCATTAGACCGGTACATGATTAGGTATTCCAATGTCTAATAATAGCTTGCCTTTTTTACTAAAAATTTAGTACACCAGCACCCCAATAGGATACCAGAATTACCTCAGGAGTAAAAATCAGAGGCAGATCCTAGCCCTAGGAACTAGGCCTAGCCATAGACTAAAGTATCAGTTATGCCCCAACTTGAAATTCTTGGCCCAGGCAACTGGACAACACCAATACAATAGCATTTCCCTTTTCCTGTCTGTACTTGCTTGACCATGTAACAATGGTTGACCCATTCACATTCAGCTATGAATAAGCCATAATAATTTTGCCTTTCATTTCAGACTGAGTTTGGGGTGAAAAGCTGCCTTCAAATCAAATTTCCAAGCCATTCACAAAAACTAAGAACAATTTTCTATGTTCACAACGCTTAAATTTGACCTGATTGCGTTTGTATTGGCGACGGCTTGGCTTTCATTACTTTCCGATTCCCCACCCCACCTTTTTTTTCACTTGAAAAATGAATGAAAAAGGTTCAAAATCGCTGAAAATCAACTTGCAAAGAAGAAAATAACGTTACCGATGAAGATCTTGTGGTAATTGAAGTCATTTTGATTCTGAATATACAAGGACTGGAATATTGTTACAATTTTTTTGCTGAGTTTCTACACCTTCAATATTCCCTCTCTTGTCATTTCATGCACGAACACAACATTCAACAAAATGCTTTCAAATAGATGCGGCTTGACGCTGATTGGCTGTGAGTGTCACCAAACATTCATTTCATTGGTTGATTTCTCCCGGGTTGTCATTGCAATTTCATACCAACTTATTGAAATTAAAGATTACAAAATATTTTCCATGGTTTCGACCAAATTATGTTACTAATTTCAAAATGATACCTAAATTCAATTCTTTGTAAAATATTTTTCTCAAATAAAAAATCTCGTACTTTTGAGAATTAGATTCTTACTTCCGGTGACAGAATATAAACTTCCGGTCATAACAAACTCATGTGGCCATATTTTATTTTACCGGTAAATTTCTTTTTTAACATTTGATTATAGATCCAGATTTGCTTCGATTTTTGAGACGAAGATGTTAAAAGGTGACATTTTTATTGCAAATTTGGAAATGTCCAAATTTAAAGTGATCGGTGAAATGTCACATTAAAATTTTGCAAGTTTATTGATCGATTCCGATGTCGGAATGACATTTCTTAGCTGCGATTAAAGCAAAAATGGGGTATTACCTTAGATACTCGAAATCAGAAAATAAAATTATTATTAAAATCCTAATTACCTGAGTATGAAGTTGAATAGATGACTGTATGGAATGATAAACTCAGAGTATATTATATTCAGGCAGATTAAATTATAATATATATTGCTTCCTGTCTGTGTCATCAATCAATAACTCAATATAATGATTTAAATGTCAATGATTAACCATGAGCTCATGGAATATGAAAGCCTAACATTCTATTGAAACCTTAGATGACTGTTTGAATCAAATCATTTTCTCTTTCCCAATGTCAATCAAAGACTCTCAGTAGTATTTGAAGAAGATGCGTTTTGTTTGTATTGTCAATGAGGGGCAGAATGGAAGACATGCCTATTGGTGGGTACTTAGGACTTATCTTGATGCCCATCAATCGTATGACTCAATTTTTTACCATTTTGTAATAAAACTATTATTATTATTATTATGAAAAAATGTGACTGTAAAATAAGCAAGGATTAAAAAGAAGGCACATGGTAGAGTATTGGCAGCCGTAATTTGTCTATTGTTACGGCACTTTACTCATATATTTTGTTTCATAAGATACAGAACTGTTTCAAACCTTAAAACTAATCCTTACAAAGACCCTACAGGCAGTTGCTATCTATGCAATAAAATGCTAAATCATGATTATTCCTTCCTTAATTAATGTAAACAAGTCATCCTGTTATGGTGCCATAACTTGAAATGAATTTCATATTGTTACGACAGACTACAGATATCTGTTGTTTTATATACAGTCAAGTAACCTAATTTCGTGGAAACCTATTATTCGTGGATTTCCGGAAATGCTTAATAATTTACATGAGCAAACTTGCGCGACCTCCGCATTAGTTTGTTTTGATAAACATGGGTTTTCTCTGCAATATCAGCCTGTAGAATGAATCCAGTAGTAACATGTATTAATGTATACTTTGACAAATACAAAATGGCGGATTTCAGTTATTACCAAACGTCACCATTTTTTATCGGCCGAATTTCCTTATAATCCCAAGCGGTAATCGGAATTCCAAGTGTCGTCTGCTAGAATGTAATCCAACGAATGAAGTCACGTGATCAACTAGCGGATTCCGTGTCAGCAGAAAATATCTATGGAACACAAAGTGGACCATATTCTTATGTTGTTTCAGTGACTTTTAGCAATAAATCACGCTACGTATCTGATTTTGTCAGTCACTATTTTTTTTTAAAATCGTGGTTCTTTGAAGGAATTGTCACTAGTTATAATGAATTGATATTAAAGATAAATACTAAGAGAAGTTAATTATACTACCCGGTATCCATACAATGTGTTTTTCTAGACTTATTTATAGATCAAACATTGTACACGAAAATAGGTCACGCATTCTGTCGCCGTTGCCGAGTTGGTTGCTCATGAAATATGGGTCAAAATGAGGGATTCATAAAGAAAATCGAAATAAACCAATTTTAATTATTTTGTAGAATATCTGAGGAAACATCTAAGACATAAAAAAATTTTTTCGTTTTTTTAACTTTGACAAAATTTGGTGTTGAATCCTGATATCCACAAAAATAGGTTACACCACTGTAGTAGACTCTATTTTAGGGCTTTGATTTTAGTCTGGAATATTTGTAAATCGTCCTCAGAAGTACTAGAAGTATATGAAAATCGCATAATACCTCATACTAGGAATTTTACTTTCTGTTTCTATATATGGCAGAGTCTCAAGAAATGACAAGTTGTCAATTTGACTTTCAAACATGGATAATTTTGGACTCACATGGTGAGCTGTGAACAATATTACTGATAAGTTCAGCTAAAAAATTCTGTTTCTGAGACTAAAGCACAATTGGTTAAACGAATGGCGAATCTGTTCTTATAATAGAATTTTTCATCTTCACAATGTCAAGCTACTCTGAACTTTGTCTTAGACTACCTTGACATTGTGAAGGTGGTATGTCTATGTTCCTAATTAGTCCGTTAGTCCTTATGAAGATGATCTTCTGTGGTCTGTATTTTAAATCTTATTACTTCCCTTTAATTGCAATTTGTTTGTTAATAGATCAGAAAGTGTGCTGTGTAATACTATGATGTAATATGGAAGATATCAAAAAAAGACTCGAATTGAAAAATAATCATGTACAGATTAAGGTAGGTGGAAACTGATTGAATCGTCTGAGGGAGAGAATGACCAGCAGTTCTATTTTCAGCGACAGTGGGCAGTTGGCATTGGAAGAGTAAAAGGGTTGTTGTATGCCTTAGGGGTGCCTGTTGAAATTAAACTTTAAAGAGAGTTCATTTTCTCTTTAAAAACATGAAAATTTAGCTCATCTGAGAGCAGAGACTTTTAACCTTTTTCTTTCTATTGCTCCTTTCTATTGATCCTTATTGATTGCATTACCTCCCTTTCCCCTATAAATCTTTACCTTTTTTCGTGATCTTCGCTTTTGTTTCCCTGCAGTTTTTTTCATGTTAGAGAATATAGCCTGACTGAATAGAACAACTTAAATTATTAATTTTACTCCAAGACTACAAAGCGTCTCATTGTCCCCCCAAATTTGAAAAATTACCCCTAGGCTTTTGCATGTTGTCCACCGCTCTACTGACGGGATACCCAGGTAAAAAAATTCCCTGTCTTAGAGTAATGATAAAACTAATAAAGTTTATTAAGTACATTATGATATGAATTGTGGTAAAATAATGAGTGCAGTTGATACAGTCAAGTTAAAACACTGGAGGGTGTATGGTCGTTAAAATCTCTGGAAGGTTTCAATTAATTACTGTTATACCGGTACCTTACTGACCTAGTTCTCCTAATTAATAAGTACTTTTATTTTCTACTCTCAGACTTATTCCAAGAAAAGTTATTTTCATGTTATCTAGAAAATATAATTTATAAAAGTTGAAATACATAGAAGTATGAAATGATTGAAGTCATGATGTAATTGATTTAAGGATACGTACTGGCTATTTGTACCGTCACAATGTGTGTTCTCTATGTTAGTTCGGATAAGATAAGACAATAGGCGCACTTATTTTTGGTTTTGTTAAAGCATGACGCCATATTGATTGTCAAGAATGATATTAAGTAACTTTGTTAGAGTTAGGTAGGGATGGCCATATGTTTTTTGCCCATTTTTGTACCACTGCAGTACGAATAGCCACAGCCTTAAGGATAACCCAAAAAGTTGGATTAAGTATCCTCATAAGATTATTTCCAATGATATCTAATGATGAAGAATTTTGAAATCTATTTTTTTCATCTTATTGGTTTCCATATATGAAATGTGGGTTCATTGGGCAAAGTAGCATTTGTGCTGGTGGTTGGTCAAAATTGTTATTGTGGGAGAGTAAAAAAGGCCTACCAGCTATCCTAGCCTGATAGTTTGCGATATCAGCATCCGCTGGAAGCGAACATTAACTTGTCATATACCTACCTACCTACCTCCTAGTCTGCCAGATGCATTGGGAGAACACATATGAAATAAGGATGTCTATTGTTAAATTTATCTTTTCTTTGCTTTCTTACTTTTATAATCTGTTTTTCTGACATCAAAACTTGAAACAGACCTTGTTATCTAGTCTACTTAAAATTAATTACTACAAAGCTTTCTAAAGGTACATGATTGTCTGCGGTGGTGGCTCAAAAAAGGGGATCAGGAGGGCCAAGAATACATTTATTTGTGGAATTATACATTGTTTCATTTCAAAAACTTAATAATATTAAACGAATACTCTTTCAAATTGCATAAAATGCAGGATTAAAGTCCTTATTTATTTCCATGAGCACCCCCTAGAGAATGGATTCCAACAAAATGTGGAGGTGGCCCCTGTAAATCAAAAGTTCTGTGGTTCCACTGGTAGCTTTTGGTGTTAAGAATTAAATTTTTTCAGTAGACGCTCACATGCAAAATAAAGTGGAACATAGCTACCAAATTGTCCTTGACCTTGGTTGCTGAATGTGTGTCAGTTATTGTGAATGGTGGAGTGATATTTAACATGACAAGCCTATCTTATAAATATATATATATAAACATAGATATTGCCAGGATCGTAGAAACTGTCAGGCCGGGAGCAAACTGAAAGTAGAAATTTCCTATGTTAACGGCAATGTTAACTTATAATGCTATTAGACTGGTTGAAAGGTAATGAACAGATATAGATATAAGAGATCTATATTTGAATGACTGGAGGTAAAATGGAGAAATGTGATTTACTATTCACTAGCCCTTCCTTATTTCTTTCTCCGTCTTTTACTAATGTAAGTTTTATCATGATTTGTGAAATGGCTTAAGATATAAATGAAAGAATAGACAAATGAATTAATGGGTACCTTCTTTGTTAAAGAGAGGGTATATGTGTTATCAGTGCCCTTTGGTTATTTGTTTTATAGTATCTCAATTTCTTTCTAACAGGGCTAAAAAAAAAAACGGTTTTCTTCTGTCAGTGATGCAGGTAAGAGGGCTGGCATGGAATAAGCCTCTAGTCATTTGAATGGTACAATAAACCAAGGCCCCAGGCTGTGCACGTAAAAGACCTCTCTGCATTTGGAAATCGAAAAAGGGCAGGCTTATGCCGCTGTTTGGCAAAATATCCCTCATTCTACCCTGCATGGTGTTATCCGTCTTCATTAGCCCACATGGTGCAGAAATGTAGGACATAAAACTCCATTCATTTCACAAGGGCTAAAAAACTTGCATAACTACAATGTTATCAGCAAGAGATGATTTCTGCTAAAAAAAATAAAGACATATAGAGGGAATAAATATTTTATTTTTATGTAAAATTTTGACATATGAGATGAAAATATATTTACACAAAAATTTATCAAATTATCTTTTTATACACAATATTACAATTTTTCAACAAAATTATACAGAAATTTAAAATTAAATGAAATGGAATTTTACTTCCAGCTCTTTTGTGAGGTTTATAGCACAATAGGTGCTGGCCCCGTATTCTCGAAACGGTCTTAGCACTAGGATGTCCTAGAATCAATGTTAGAAGATAAGAATCTAGGACATCCTAGCTCTAAGATCATTTTGAGAATATGGGGCCTGGTTCTTAACATGACGTCATTTGCTTGGTTACGTCGAGCAAATGGCGGCTGAGGGTTCTAACCTCAATTGTCATGTGAATAAGCCATCCTCACACATAATTCCTGTCGACCCAGCTGTGAGTGGGTACGGGAAATCTGGGAAAGATCAATGCCACAAGGTTTGGCCAAGGACCAGCTGGAAGAAAGGATCCTTAACCTTGAATCTAAGTTGTTATCCTTTTACAATTAATGCCAAGAGTTTTGCCCAAGGACCAGCTGGTAGAAATGATCCTTAACTGTGAACCTATGTTGTTATCCTTTTACAATCAATGACAAGATTTTTGGCCAAGGACCAACTGGTACAAAGGATCCTGAACTGTGAACCTAAGTACATGTAGTTATCCTTGTAAAATATAGTTTCTTTCTTTCTTTCTAATGGAGACTGGTAATGCCATGTAGTGTGCAGTGAGGTAAAGTTTTTGTTTTATTGAAATGAGAACTATTGTGAAGCTAATAATCCAATTTACTAGTCAATAACTACTAGTAGGATAGTGAATAACTAGGAGGCTCTCATATTGCTCTACTTTGGGTTTCCCTATTATTGAAATCAAAAAAGGGTCCTACATGACATGCTTTTATTGGTTGATAATAATGTCATTAGAACAGAACTGAGGTAGAAAACTTGTAAGATTACAATAGTGACAAAAAATATCAGGAAAATTGAAATGTTATTTAAATCTATTTTGAGTTGTTGTTAGTATAAGGTTTTATAAGAGGTACTCTCTTATAGAAGCACTGGCCTAGGTCACAAGTAGGACTGTGGATTTCAGCATTGGAATACATCAATTTGATAGGAAATTACCTACTTCTGGAGAGATTTACAAGATAGTGTAAGTCTTGTAATACATCTAGAAGTATCACAGTACATTAAGAATAATAATTTTTATAGATATGAATTTCTATTTATTATTTAAACAAAACGTTTCATTTCACATACAGGTAATGTTATCAACTCATTACTTGATCATCACTTGATGAAGAATAAATTGAAGTCTATATCTATAAAAATTGTTGTTTTGGTGTAGTATATGAAAAGTAGGAGATTTGAAGACAGTGAAGTTGCACAATCAGTGTGGTTTGAAACAAAAGGAAATTAAAAGTTAACTTCCATTTCCTTGAATTGAAGTCCAATCACTGTCTAATACTATAACTAGTGGTAAGTCTACTCAGGAAATTAATGTTAGATATAGGATTGTTTCCCACTTATAGACAGGTTTCATGGGGCCGTGATATACCACAGTTTTTACTCTGTTACGGAAGGTGTTATCACTAGTAGTGTTTCTAATGCAGGGGGTGTCAATGGCGATAAGAGGCTTTGAATCCCCACTTTAAAATTTCTTTTGATACAGGATTGTTTCCCACTTTATAGACAGGTTTAGTGGAGCCATTCAGTGATATACCACAGTTTTTACTCTGCTGTACTTTGCTGTAAATTTCATATATTCATTACTTGCAAGTCACTAAAAGTTTCAAAACAGCACAGTACATCCAATAAGTTTTATGTTAATGTAAATTTACTAGAAAGTGTGCTGACTAGTTCCTCTGTAGCAGAGCTCATTACATTCCTTGAATGTTCAGCACAGTTTTCCTAATCCCAGAACAGTAGGATGTAAAACTCCATTTCATTAGAACAATCAGTAATATTTAAAACTGTGTTTCAATAAAACAGTACAGAAGGATATTTTAATTTCATTTCTCTAGACCAATAAGATACAGAACAGTAGGATATATCTATTTCATTTCATTAGTACAATAAGATACAGAACAGTAAGATATAAAACTCCATTTCATTTCATTAGTTCTATAAGGTACAGAACAGTAGGATATATCTATTTCATTTCATTAGTCCAATAAGATACAGAACAGTAGGATATATCTATTTCATTTCATTAGTCCAATAAGGTACAGAACAGTAGGATATATCTATTTCATTTCATTAGTTCAATAAGGTACAGAACAGTAGGATATATCTATTTCATTTCATTAGTTCAATAAGGTACAGAACAGTTTGATATAAAACCCTATTTCATTTCATTAGTCCAATAAGATACAGAACAGTAAGATATAAAACTCCATTTCATTTCATTAGTTCTATAAGATACAGAACAGTAGGATATAAAACTCTATTTCATTTCATTAGTCAAAACATGAGCTGCATTAGCATTATCACTAAGATGTTAAAGTCTATTTAATTTCACTAGTTCACTTATGAGCAGAACAGTAGAATATAGAAACTTAATTTCATGTCACTAGACCATCCAGAGCAGAACAGAGAATTCCATTCCATTAGGACAATCAGGTACAGAAAATTCAGATATAAAACTCATTCTATTAGATAAACAAGAGCAGAATAGTTAGATATGAGACTCCATTTCATTATCTCTCTGAGCTGAAAGCCTGGGTAAGAGGTTGAGACACTTATGGTGTATTCCTGTAGAAAATAACATGTAGTCTCTGGAACTGCTATAAGCATGGAATACAGACATGTTTAGTTCGATATCTTCTTCTACCAAACCTGAAATATAGAATAAGAACATGTTTTGATATTGAGGTTATGTTATTTCTTCTGTATCTGGCACGCTTGCAATGGGCATAGTTCACATCACTCATCTTTCCTTGGACATAAGATTAAAGATATGGTGGAATATAGATATATTCTATAAGAGAGAACTGGACATTGTCTTGGTTGGTTGGATGTAGGAATTTAGAATATGTGTTCAAAACATTTTAACCGGTAAAACTTTTAGCTTCAAGTGGGGTTATCCCCTCCTCCTCTGCCATGATTGGCATCGTCCCTGTCAGTGTACATTATTTTAATTGAATTCATGTTGATTTGACGTAAGGAGGAAATAGTTTATACAAGAAAGAAGAGAAGAGTTGATGGGTTGCTGTAGATGTTAGATATTTATTATAACATGATTTATTATCAACAGTTTAGACACACGTCAGTCTTCATTTTTGGGAACTGATAGTTCATTTAAAGAGAGCAATAACCATGTTGATGAGAACTCCCACACTCAAACATAATATGGTTTTATTGAAAGGAGAATTTTCATACGTAATTGGGTTATAAGCTATAATTGTATATGTTTTATAGATACAGAGTTTCTCTAACTCTACCCTAATAGACATCTTTCAACAATTGCTACAAAAATATTACCGAGTTATGTCATTACCCTTAAATTGAGCTATGTCACGTACAGGAAGTAAAAAATATGATATTATTAGAAGTTAGAATTAATAAAATTTAAGATATCCTTTTGTCACAAAAATTGGTCGGCCAATGAAGGAAAAATGCGTGTGTATATGGATAAATTTTTCTGTAGATCCATCATCTTTTTCCATATGCGAATGAAATCGTCATCATTCCATATAAGGTGTTTGTTCGCTAATGAAAAGTTTCGAATGCAAGGTTTACTAATGTAAAGTGCGTAACACAGAGTGACTAATGCAGAGTGTATAATACAAAGAATGAAATACATATTCATTTTTATATTTTTACCCACCAATATTTGTACTTTTTAGCAATGTCATATGCATGTTATATCAATTGACAACATTGGTATTTCAAAACTCTGAATATTTATGACAACGTTATAAGTCCATATCAGAATCATGTCAAATATTATTGAAATATGTCAAGTACCGGAAGTAAAAAATATATTATTTTGTTAGAATTTGTAAGAATTAAGTGGGCTGAAAACTATAAATGTGCATCAGAATTATTTTTATGGTTATCAAAATCACGCTGATTGGCGTTCTCCAGCCAGATAATGGTTTATGGCCTACGCTACCACATTGTTACAGCCAACTTTTAATGATGTTTCGTTTTCTGGATAACGGAACCAGACAAGGCTTCTTTATTTTTATTTTCAAACAAAAAGTCTGAAGTTTTTTTTTTTGAGAGATGATAATAAGATATTATTTTTCATGTTGAAAATGTTTAAATCTATTTTTTCCGGAACTCTTGAAAGAGTTCAATCTTCCTGCTGTTATTTTTTTCTTTTTTGTTTCCATGGTTGTTTTTGAATTTTTAAGCTTTCATCTAAAACACATGTTGTTAATTTGCGATTGGGTTTTAAACTGCGATTAGTTGTGTATGTAAGCGTAACTCATACTCAAACTCAAGGTATTCTTACATGAGTCCGGAAACTCTCCATGTATGTAGGGTAACCAAGTGATATTGGATGCCATTATTTTACTCAAAGAAAGTCCAAATGTTGGAAAACTAGGTCTGTGTATCTGAAACATGTGTCAACAGTGGGAAATGAGTAGTCAATTAAAGAAAACTAATAAAAATCAGAATATATAAGCTGAGTTATTGGTCAGAAGAAATAATAACGAGTTGTTTGTATTCCTCATTTATGGACCATCTACTACTAGTACTACAGTACTTGTTGATCTGAACCTAAAGCAACCTCTACCAGATGATGCCATTGGTCACTGTCCAATCCATTAAAACAGGATCCTTTAGCAGGGAATGCCATTAGCCACTGACCAATCCAGTAAACAGGATCTTTTAGCAGGGAATGCCATTGGCCACTGACCAATCCAGTAAACAGGATCTTTTAGCAGGGAATGCCATTGGCCACTGAACAATCCATTAAACAGGATTCTTTTAGCAGGGAATGCCAACGGCCACTGACCAATCCAGTAAACAGGATCCTCTACCAGATGATGCCATTGGCCACTGTCCAATCCATTAAAACAGGATCCTTTAGCAGGTAATGCCATTGGCCACTGACCAATCCAGTAAACAGGATCCTTTAGCAGGGAATGCCATTGGCCACTGACCAATCCAGTAAAACAGGATCCTGAAGCAGGGAATGCCATTGGCCACTGACCAATCCAGTAAACAGGATCCTTTAGCAGGGAATGCCATTGGCCACCGACCAATCCAGTAAAACAGGATCCTTAAGCAGGGAATGCCATTGGCCACCGACCAATCCAGTAAAACAGGATCTTTTAGAAGGGAATGCTATTGGCCATGCTGATTGACAACATCAGATTACTTGTCTATTATTTCTGTTCATCTATATCCTTGACTTGTCAAATTTCTTCCTCAAGTCCCTGTGGTTCGTGTGATGTCTATTTTAATCGTTGATAAATAAAAAGGATATTGACACTGGTATAGATTTCTATATATTTCATGATCTGAATAAATTTATACTCAGATAAATCTATGGATCTTTGAATGATATATAAGAATAACTCAAGATAAAGAATTCTACATGATAATGCAGATAGTTTATAGATAGTTTTCCTTATTTTTTAGTGTCAAATTAAGCAAACTGTTTGATTAATTGGTGTTAGTATTGAATTATCATGTATTATTAATCATATCATTATGTTCTTATGGTATATAATTATTAAGTATTAACCAATCATAAATATCCATGTTTGTACAGTCTGGATAAACAAAAAAAGACTTTTTGACCTTTCTTGATCTGTCACTCATTGGAATTCTGCTGATAATTCTCTTCTAACTTAGCTAATTATGGATTATTTGTAGAAATGTGAGATAAACTGGTATTTTTCCAAGTCATTAGAACACCTCTACTTTCTATTCATATAAGTATTAGCATTTTCATTTTCATTAATAGAACCCATCTTTAAGGAAGAGAACGCAATAAGTAGATAAAAGAAATATATCTTGAAGCTACCATAAATTGCTAAGACAAAGTTACGCTCACATCCCTATGATATTGTTAAAGTAAACTGAGTTCAGTAGCACAGAAGGTTAGAGCATTGCAAACTACATAGTGTCATTTATTTGGTTACAGAAAAAAAATTGGTGGTCGTGGAGTTCTTATTTCAGTCAGCATATAAAAGTCTGTCAAACTTGAATAAGTCATCTTTCCTCATTATAAGCTCGACCCAGCTTTAAATGGGTCTTCATGAACATAAGTTGTTATTTTGTAGAAAAAACTTGTTATTTATTCCTGCATTTATCAATACTCGGAAAACTTACATTCTGATAATGCAAATAATTGCCATCTGCAGCTAAGAATTGTCTAAATTTGATAATTTTTGGGAAGAGATAACTATTTTTGGTCATATCTATCTATCTACAATTTTGGTTGCAATATGAAACACTGGATCTTTTGATTTTGGGTTTTGTTTGATTAATTTCACGCAATTTGTTGTTCCATCCTTTGGTTATTTGATGTCATGGATGGATTTGTAAGAGTTGATGAACTACGGTTAAAATAGAAATTGGGTTACTTGATCGCAGACAGTTGTAATTTCTATCAATATATTGAGTTGTAAAGTAGAGAGGCATTGTGGGAAATAATCGAAGGATGACAAGTTGACACTGTGAGTAAAATCATTTATCAACTCCGTAAAACCTAACAGCTTAACCTTTATCTTGGTCTGAGACGTTTTACGTTAACTTGACAACTAGAAGTCTCCAGGTGGCGCTTAGAGAATTATATAATTATTGAACGAGACTTGTAAAATTCCACGTTTTAATTCAATTTGTAGTTTTTATATCACCTATATATACTGAACTATGACATCATCAATGTCTGATGTTTCTGCTGGTGGACAAGTTTCTCTGTATGGTCATGTATTAACCTAATTACTTGATTCTGTCTAGTACATGTCAACATTTTTATTACAAACCAATATGCTGATGACAGTGCTGGTAGACATGGCTTTCCCTAAAGTTTTATAAACTTTTTATGTTTTTCAGGGACACTGATAATATTGATGTCTGTGGTTCATGCAATTCTACTCAAATTTAGCATTTTATGACATCAATATCCCAAAAGGAGGCCCTTTGTGACTTCATAAAATATTTAATTTGTGGAATCACAAGAACCACAGACGTCTGACTTAAAAGTGGAATGGTGCGAATCGATGTTTTTAGTTTCAGAAATCAAGTAGAGACTTTATTATCTTTGTTTTATATACAGAAAATATTTTACTAGAAATATATAAAGAGCACCATTGAAATATTTTGTTATTGTTTGAATTTATTTGAAAACCATTAGTAGTTTGTAAGAAATGAAATTAAATTTATTGACAAGTTTCTATGGAAGCCATAAATCTAGATTTTTGAGGAAATCTTAGTTACGCAATAATATAAAATGGACTGTTTTTATGCCAGTATTTTTGTTGCGGAACAAAATTTATCTTCTTACTATTATTAGGTATTGATAAAGTTTATCTCCTGTCAAAACAAGGGGGATAAATCATGGTGGACAATTGGAGTTTATTAGCGTTCACTAGCAACAGTTATTTTCTTGTCTACTATCTGATATTGGTTATAGATATCTTTTGAATTTTATTATATCATCAAACAAGGGGGGATAAATCATGTAAGCAAATTTATTTTGCTGAAAGGATATTTATAGTTGCCTAAATATTAAGTAAACAATTTGATAAAGCTCTCAAGTTATCAGTGTCACATTTCAGGGAAAACACAAAAACCACAACCGGCTAGAATAATAAGGTTTGACAAGCAACAAAATCACACCTTATTTTACAAATGAGCTCTTCCAATCATCCATATAATGTTTAATATAGATTTAAGTATGCATGTGTGGAAGAGTTCATTAGAAAGTTGAAGGTGTCAAAAATACCGAAGCACTATATAACCAGACGTACAATTGAAAAAAACATGATGGGATTACTGGGTTGTTTTCCTACAGGCAGTTGTGATTGCATCTTCACCATGTTGAGTTATTACAAACTCCTTTATATACCTTGACTTCATTAGGCACTTTTGTTGTATTGTGGAAGTAAGTATTTGATTGGATTATACACTAGTGAATACAGCCAATCAGAGTCTTATTTTCAACCAATTTCCAGTATAAAATCTACATGAATGTCAATAGAGGGAATTTACATATTTTATGAACTTCAATTGCTCATTAATCTTTTTCAAATGTTTTGATCAATTTTAAATCTGCTTTTAGACTTTCAAATTTTTTCACCATAACATTCATTTTTAACTTTAATATCTAAAGATATTTGAAAATGTTCGAAGTAAATACTCCCACTCTAGAAATGAAGTTGAATAATTTTGACATCAAATCTATTTGTGTATTAGATTCAAGTCATGATGTCGAGTAGGTCGTCATTTCTTGAGTAAATATCTTTTCTATTCTAACCAGACGGGGAATTAACTCTGTTATTTAGTAGAGTGTCCACCTACTTATCAATAACAACTTAATCTAACCTATTCCGCAACAGATTTAGAAAATAACAAAGAAACAAGGATTTAAACATTGGTTCACAAGGATCCTGTCTACCAGCGTTCAGTTTTGTTTGCTGTCAATCAGTGCATGGAAAGATGCAAAAAAGGTATCTCTGGGTAATGAAAGGCCAACAAGTTTTTAGATTTAGAAAACAAGAAGGTAACGAGGATATCAAACATTGGTTCCTGTCTACCAGCTGATACATGGCCAAACCTCTTGGCTTTGATCCAAAAAGAATATCTACTTAAGTTCACTAGGATCCTGTCTACCAGCTAATCCTTGGTCAAACCTCTTGGCTTTGATCCAACAAGGCTATCAACTTAGGTTCACAAGGTTCTTGTCTACCAGCTTATCCTTGGTCAAACCTCTTGGCTTTGATCCAAAAAGGATATCAACTTAGGTTCACAAGGATCTTGTCTACCAGCTGGTCCTTGGTCAAACCTCTTGGCTTTGATCCAACAAGGCTATCAACACAAGTTCACAAGGATCCTGTCTACCAGTTGGTCCTTGGTCAAATTTCTTGGCTTTGCTCTAACAAGGATAATGACTTGGGTCCACACTTAAGGATCCTTTCTACAAACCAAAACAAAGCTAAACCTCTTGACAATGAATTTACAAGGATAACAACCTTCTACCAACTGGTCCCTTAAATCTTAAGATTTAAAGGGTTTAAACCCCTGTTCAGTAGTTTACTGACTACTTTAACCACTGATACAGAAAAGTAGGATGTAAAACTCCCATTCATTTCATTTTCTAACCACTGTGTAATAAACAAGCTGGGACAATAATCTTCTTTATCTATATAACAACATTTCTTTTGCCTCATAAAATGTCCATTAAACAATAGAGACTACAATTTTTGTCCAATTTTGATGAAACATATGAACATTGTTGTGACAATGTGTTTCTGCTATCGGAAGATCTCATTCTAGTGAGAGTTTCGGCCCAACATCAACAAGTGTTATAGATATATTTTTATATTATATCCTCATTTATTGTTGATTATAATAGATGATTTTCCTTCACATAGCTTGTCATATTTAATGCCGGAGAAGGACAAAGTCAAACCACATTGTTTTCTACTACCTTTTTGTCTACTTTTGACAACTTCTGAAAAACATGAATTCTTGCTGACATTTACATTTTACTTTGCAAGCCATCATATGTATTTAACAAAAATCATGCTAATAAAGTGAAAGTAAAACATGTTATTGACAATTGGACCTGACAGATTGTTAAACTTTCTCTTGCAACTGAAAAGCTTAATTTTTGTCTCGTTCCATTTCTTGAGACATGTCCACATTGAATCCTTTGTTCTTTAATTGTTATTTGAATTGAACATCATGTATACTTTAGATTTAAATTCATATACTTTAACCTTTCATCCTTAGTGGTCACATAGTTACGCAATATATACCTGAGAGGGCGTCACTAAGTGATGTCACCTAATGTTAAAGTATCATGCTTTTATTACCAGGAATTCAGGGTATAAGACCACTTGTCAATTCAGCGTTTCTTATAGAAAAAATAGCTTGCCAAGCAAGATAATATACACCCATTGGCAGCTGTCAGAAATGATAACAGTGTTTGAAACTTTCTCATTTTGAACAAATTTTAGGGATGTTT